GGATGCACAAGACGAACGAATACTACTGCTATACTCCCAGGTTGTATTCAATCGAAAACCAAAACCTTAGGCAGATCGCTCCAAGATACGCAGCCGTATCAAACTCCTCTTTGCATGTCTACTCAGGCGGCTCCATGTACGGCGACTTGATCCGGACCGCACCGCCGCCCTCATCCCGCGCGCTGCCCTTATCATCCTCGCCAAACTGCTTGCCACCATTCCTGTCTTCTGTTGCATTGCAAAGGAACTGCCCTACCCGTTTCCTGTAACAGTGTGTACGGGCATACCCTGTCCGGCAAATGCAGATAGGAACGCCGCACCACCACCATGTCTTGAGCAAACTGTAGAAGCGCACTGCCGAAGCAAAGTTATTCCTGGCATCTCCTTTCTGTGTATCGTTCCCCTTCACACGTGTATGCGTCTGAGCGCGCAGCTTTGCCTGCCTTCACACGGGGATCAAGGCAGCGTGCACGTACAACAACACTTCGAGACACCAGCATGCCCTCAGCGGGCCGCGCAGCCGCTGCTCCCAATGCTCCATGCAGCCCTCTTGGCACCACGACAACTGCAAATTCAAAATATGCGCATACTTTCTGAAACGCACAAAAAACCGTTGCAGCATAATACCTTGGCATGCAGCTGCTGCATATGGGGGAATATAATTTGCGCATGCATTCGATGTACGCAGCCGGCGCATTAGACAGATTCCCTCAGGGCGATTGCAAGCAATTCGAGAATCCGATGCATTGATCGACAATGGTCCCGCAAAGCAGACGGCGACGTTGAGTGTCCAATCAGACCCGCTCATACTAGGAAGGCTGAGCACATGGGAAAAGCTTCCAGACTGTGAGAAACGGCGGACGCACGCAGAATTCAAACACGCTTTATCACGCAGCTCAGGCGACAAAGTGTCAGTGTTACAAAACCTCTACGGCGGGATGCACAAGACGAACGAATACTACTGCTATACTCCCAGGTTGTATTCAATCGAAAACCAAAACCTTAGNTACGCAGCCGTATCAAACTCCTCTTTGCATGTCTACTCAGGCGGCTCCATGTACGGCGACTTGGTCCGGAACGCACCGCCGCCCTCACCCCGCGCGCTGCCCTTATCATCCTCGCCAAACTGCTTGCCACCACTCCTGTCTTCTGTTGCATTGCAAAGGAACTGCCCTACCCGTTTCCTGTAACAGTGTATACGGGCATATCCTGTCCGGCAAATGCAGATAGGAACTTCGCACCACCATGGCTTGAGCAAACTGAAGAAGCGCACTGCCGAAGCAAAGTTATTCCTGGCATCTCTTTTCTGTGTATCGTTCCCCTTCACACGTGTATGCGTCTGAGCGCGCAGCTTTGCCTGCCTTCACACGGGGATCAAGGCAGCGTGCACGTACAACAACACTTCGAGACACCAGCATGCCCTCAGCGGGCCGCGCAGCCGCTGCTCCCAATGCTCCATGCAGCCCTCTTGGCACCACGACAACTGCAAATTCAAAATATGCGCATACTTTCTGAAACGCACAAAAAACCGTTGCAGCATAATACCTTGTCATGCCGCTGCTGCATAGGGGGGAATATAATTTGCGCATGCATTCGATGTACGCAACCGGCACGCTACCCAAGTCTCGCCTCCTACTTGGTTTAGGCGTATCGGGTGGAACTCGCGGTTCTTACGTTGGCGGGCGTCAACATCCCGCGGGAGAAGCTGGCTCTTTCATGTATCCTTTCAGTGCCGCTCTCGTTTGATAGACAGGGCACACGCGGAACGCCTCCACTCTGTGCGCAGCAGAGTTTATGAGCAGTGCTGAAGACGATTGCTTAGTTTGTAACCGCATGCACGCATGGAGTCTTCTGCCTTTTCTGTAATCCTTGAGCGCGTGTCCAACTGGCAGTTGTAAAATGTGCATACTTGCTGTTAACAGGAAACGAAATAGTCACGCTCTCATTGTTGACCCCCACCTCCAACGGCGCAGCGCATGCACTGCCTCGGCAATAAACTGATATACTTTCTACTGTCACACTCTGTCGGCCACACTCTGTCGGCCGAATGCATACCGCATCGCCGAAATATCCTGGCTCTGTGGATCCACTAGAATACGAAGAGGATAACGCCAGAAAGCACCGAAATCCCACTGCTTCTCGCACTTCAACTGCATCCTTCTGCACGCGTCTCCACCTGCACGTTTCGTAACTACACTCAGGATGCCCAAAAGTGTAATGTAGGCGGGATCGAGCTCAATGAATGATTCTTCCTCTGAAGACATACCTCCTAGGCAAGAGAGGGCACGACCCTCGTGCCAGAGAACCCTTTGCCACATCGCGTCCGTAGACGCCCGCACACAAACTGAACAACTCCATGCTACTTATGGATACAAGTCCGCTAGCTGCCTGCCAAATAATGCTTATACGCTTATTGGCAGATGCAGCAGATTTCAACTAGAGAATGTTGAACAAGCCCAAGACGTATACGAACTGCAGGGCAGCTGGCTGCCTGGGGCGTCCGCGTCGAATTGCCTCTTGCTGCAAGACCAAAGAAAATCTGCGAATTCTGAGATGCACAAACTAGATAACACAAGCAAACCAGCATGCTCTATACAAGGGTCGATCTTGATGATTGTAAGAATCTGCTACAACCACCATGTTGCATGATGGCTGGCTCGAAAAAATATCTGTGGCACATTCATGGGCAGTACCTACGCCAAGCACACAAATGCTTATACAGGTTTTTTAAACCAGATTAGTCCCCCCATCCCGCTTGTTTGCTTCATTTCGTGCGCCCTTTGCGTGTTTAAGCATGTTGCATTGGTCACGCTGTCGGCGCCGGCCCGATGTATGCTGTTTTCGTCTCCTGCAAAACACGCATGATCGCTGGACTTGAACGCTGAACGCTGCGCCTGAATAACCGCGTAACTGTTGATGCATCCCACCGTGCACTGCATTGTGTATATACTGCCTCACCAAATTACTGAGATCGCTTGGACTTGTTTAAAAACGAATCCTAAGCAGAGAAACGCCCATTTGCCATCGCACTGGAACTCTATAAATATCTGCGGGTCCGCATGCACAACCACGCCCAGCCGCTCACAAGCTGAAACGCAACAGAACCCAAAAGATTGGCTGCATATGCTCCTCACGCAATATGCAGTTGACAAAGGAGCGCAGCGCACGAATGCAACGCCAGATGAAGTTCCGCGATACCGAGGCTGTAGGAGCACGCACACGCACGGCGTAATGCATATTCCTTACACGTGCAAGTCCGCTAGCTCTGCGCTAAACCCTTCGTCTACTCCCAACTGCTGATGGCGCTAACTCCAGCCAGGTCATGTGAACGAAACCCAAATGTGAAGACNTCGTCTACTCCCAACTGCTGATGGCGCTAACTCCAGCCAGGTCATGTGAACGAAACCCAAATGTGAAGACAAACTGCAGGACAAGACAGTTGGCGTCATATCTCTGCTTGTCGGAAGACATTTGTACAATCGAAACTGTCTAACCCATAGGGGAACACGATGCGCCGAAATCACGCTGAATACGAGCTTCTCGTTTGCCTATGGCTACTAGGTTGGAATACTATGCACATATTTCGGTGCGATGCCCAGCTCAAACGAAATACATAGCACTTGCATGCATTGCAGTAGCACCAAGCACGAACAAAATAATCTTGAGCAACCAAACATACCCGATTGCTCTAAGTGTTCTGCTTTCTTTTCCCTTCCTCAGTAGCTGAGCAATGGTCTGACGATTACGGGTTCTTCTGGCGAGCCATCCTGCGGATCTGCAGAATTAGTGTTGGCCGGACCGTCCGCTGCACCCCACTTTCGCTCACTCCCGTCCTTTGCGGAGCAACTACCGTCATACATAATAGGGTTGCCGGCGAATGACAATATGCCTTTGCACCACGTAGCCTAGGCTGTTTCCTACTACGTAGCATGCTGTAGATGTACTGCATCATAAATCTTAGTGTCAGACTCTGCCGTACAGACGTACATCCGAGCGGCGCTAGTAGCTGCCCGAGAGTGGCACGGTTCAGTACACGCAGACGCCCGTTTGTTCTCACACGGTGGCTCCGCAAAACGTTAAGTGTGCGCATATCCATCTACGCCTTCTTTCGTACAGTCTGAGATGTACCCGGATTCATAACAGCGTCGAGAAGTTGAGGTTACTTGGCATGCTCGGCATTTGCTACAGAGCGTTCCAGCTGGAGAAAGCTTTGCACGCNAGAAGTTGAGGTTACTTGGCATGCTCGGCATTTGCTACAGAGCGTTCCAGCTGGAGAAAGCTTTGCACGCGCGTCACGCCAGTTCCTCAGCATCAGCGTACTTCCTGCACAATCCAGCATAGTAACACCAACAGAAGGCTTTGCCACACCGCGCCCAATGGCACATGCACACAGACTATATGCCCCTGCGATGCCCATACATGCAGGACGCATAGGTCTCCAAGAAATGCTGCGTATATTCCTATAGGCAGACAAACCAATTTTAAACGGGGCAAGCGAACAAACCACACCCCAGAATTCCACTGCAGGGAGACACATCTGGTTACATGAGGCGTTATTGTTCAAATGATGCTTGTTAGAAGGCCAATGAAAATCGAATTTGCGCGAAAATAACAGCGAAGATCACGCTCATGCACACCGCCGGCCTGCCTACCGCTTGCTTTTGCCTACTATGTTATTGTGCCATTAACGCATTGCCTGAACATTTGGCACAAATCACCTCGCAGTCTTCTCTGCATGCACTGAGACCGTTTCTAGTAACAGATTGTGTTAGGCAGACTCAAACCGCAGTGCCGCAAGTTGCCGCACCAATGGATACCAGAACAGAGCGCGGTTGACGCAAAAACACTGCTACTACATTGCAACTCAGTACGTCCGCACGCAAGCACATACACATCCTTGAATGCCATCAGCCAGCCTGAGATGTAGACGTCCCCACAACGCGTGCCACGACGATGAACTTGTTTAGCGTGCTTCAGACTCGCCACAAGCATTTCTTGTTGCTAGACGAATCACGTTCGCTTCACTCAAGCAGACAATTTGTGCGCATACTTTCTGGCCAAAACGGCTAACTCTTGCGCCAGGAATGGTTTCGCCACACCGTGCCAGTGACAACGTGCAAACATATTGGATAACCCGGCGAGGCTCAGACACGGAACTCCGCTAGGTTCCTGCCAGGGACAGAACACGCATCTGACCGCAGAAGTATCCGATTTCAGCCAGGCAACCGAACCAAACTCAATACCAACTGCAAGACCATCCAATAGCTGCATGGATCGCCCCTATCGAACCGATGCTTGTCAGAAAACCAACAAGAAACGAAACTCCCCAACATGAGAAGAATATATCGCCAAAGTGAGCGGCGGTCCCGCGCATCGCATCTGTCTGAAATAATTATTCAAATATGCAACTTTCACCGTGCACGATGTGACTATCTTGAAAGACCACCAGTGACAGGCTCGTAAACTTTAGTCACTCCGAACACGAAACAGCTTAATTGGTTTCAG